AAAAAGAAGTTTCTTCTCTGATCTAATTAAAAACCTTAAGAAATTAACTTTCACAATTTTTTTTTCATTTACCACTTATTTAAAAGGTTACTATATGGTCTTTAAGCATTTTGCCACTGTTACCAAAGTGTTGGTTGTTTCAAAGACAAATGACCTCAAGCCTGGGACTCTAACATTTTATTAATGACTGGCATTTTCAGGATTCTGATATTTGCTCCGCTAATAGCACCTCAATTGCATGTCTCTCAGTTGAGCTATCCTTGGGTTTTCCTTCTCTTCATTTTCTTCTCTTACAACTAAAAAGTTATACAGGCTGAGACCTAATAAGTTACAAGGAGTTTCCTTACTATTAAGTAGAGTACATTCTATCCAAAGGGTTTCAAAAACCAGAATTATTCACTCAACGAATATTTATTGAGCAGTTCTTATGTTATTAGCACTATGTTTGCTGCTTAGGATACAACAGTGAACATTTGTAAGCACAGTTTTCCAGACCAAACCAGGCTGCTCAGAAGTAAATGAGCTGCTCAGGAGTAAAACAGCTGTGGGGTATAACCTTGAGGGTGAAGTTCCATGTACTATGGAAGCATAGGAGAGGGGCAACTAATCTCAAATTAGGGAACTACTGAAGACTAAATGGTCTTAATAGTCATCTGTCCAGGTATTCATTGATTAATTCAACAAATATTTATTGAGAGTTGAACATTTACAAGACACTGTGATAGCCATTGCAGATGAAAATAAATATAAATGGGACATAGTCTGTGAAAAATACATGTAAATATATAAGTACTATACTAAAGATCTCCAGGGAAGTTTCATGAAAAGAGATGACTTCTGTATGGAATTATACTTGACCTTGAAGGTTAAGGAGAAATGTGAGGTATAATGGGTAGAAGAAGGGTCACTGAGACAACAGCTTGTAGAGATATGTAGAAGTGTGATAGAACATGACCAATAGGGTATCAAGCAGTTAGGTGTGGCTAAGTGTAGGAGTAAGGTGAAGAGTGTAGCCAATGATAGGTGGCATCAGAGCACAAAATGTCCTTTATGCCATCTTAAGGGTGTGAATTTATTTTGAAATTTATGGGAAGCTACTGACTGGTTTTAAGTCAGGAAGTGACCTTTTCAGATTTGTGCTTCAGAAAAACATCTCAAGATTATGAGGTGGGCTGAAGGAAGAAGTAATTTATCTGATCCTCAAAATCACTCTGTGTATAACAGGTATTTTCACTCACATTTTATGTATAAGCATCTAGGACTTGGAGGTGTCCAGTGATTTGTCTAAGGACCCTGGGTCATTCCAAAATTGAAGAAACTCAACACTTTGTCCAGATAGGATATAGATGAAAACCTCTATGCAGCTCACTTTTGGTTTCAATCAGGCTATTCTTGACAATAATCTTTAAAAGCTTGTGTTCTGCTTGTACTGCTGATTCCAACTAGTTTTGCATAATTGATCAGATAGAATTTGTACAGTCTGAATCAGAGGCTTTGAAGCGTCAAAGTGTTCCACAATATTGCTTTTCCGTTTCCTAAGTAAAAGCCTAGGTCACTCATATTTTCTTTTTTTTAATCTTTTTTTTTAATTGTGTTATGTCTTCTAAATCTTACACCCAGGCTGGAAATGAACCATGGAAATATTTTAACTTTTAAAATTTTGAGTCAATAGGAGGCAATTCACTTTAAGAAAGTGACATTATTATCCTCTAATATTGTAAAAATTTCAAAATTGTGGACACTGGGTCAAATCTGTTTTTCCTATATTAATGGGATTTGTAAGCAACAAATAATTGTGAATTAGCTTGATTTGGTTTTCCTCCCTTGTCAGTTTTATAATTGAGCACAATACAAGTACAAATGGATCAATAATAATTTTCTCTTACCCTCAAAATGTCTCTAGTTAGTACTTTAAGTTTTAATTACAATAAATATTAAGGATTAAGTTCATGAAAAAGAAAACACAGTAGTTTAAATTATTTCTGGAACATCTGGATTTTGTTAAAAGGTGAAGGGTGAATAACAAATCTGTACGTGTTTGTAAAGGAAGGTCAGTTTACTAATTTTTCTTTCTAGAATAGTGGTTCTCAAGCTCAGCAATATCTGTATCACCTGGGTACTTGTGAGAAATACATATTCTTAGCCTGAACCCCAGACCTACTGAGTGGAGTGGGAGGAAAAACAATCTGTTTTTCCAGACGCCCTCCAGGCAACTCTGACATAGGGTAAAGTTTGAGGCACACTGGTATAAAGGAAAAAAAAAAACCCGATATGTTCCAGAGTATGGAATAACATAGTTTCAGTTCTGGGCTGCTGGGTGGCTCAGTCAGTTAAGCATCTGCCTTTAGCTTGGGTCATAATCCGAAGGTCCTGGGATCAAGTACTGCATCAGGCTCCCTGCTCAGTGGGGAGTCTGCTTCTTCCTCTCCTCCTCTCTTCTGCTTGTGCGTGCTCTCTCTCAAATAAATGAACAAAATCTTAAAAAAAAAAATGTTTTCAATTCAAAAGCCATGTGTTTTTAGATACACCATCTATTTCCTGGTCACATCACCAGGTTTCCTGGTTAATAACTTATCCCGTTAGCTGGCCTCATGAGTGGATAAATATTATCTATATGATATTTGTTATTTGTTGTAAATAAAGTATCCTCCCTCCAAGTGACTTGGCTGCATATTTAAGTTTGAGAACCACTGGTCCTTAAGATGCAATATATTAAAAGCAGAGCAGCTACAGAAGTTGTAATGCTCAATGCAGAATTAAAATGCAGGGTGCCTTGTTAAAAAATGAAGAATTTCAGGACAGTGACAGAAGAGCATTAAACCAAACATTTGAAGTGCAGGGCCCTACAAACCCACAAGCCTACAACTACACAGGTCCAATGCCCAAAAAGCAGTTTCTGTTTGTATCTATACACTTTTTTTATTCAGATGCAAATAGTACAATGCCATGAAAGTAGGCCATATTTTCCCCTCAGATACTATCAATCTTACCTTCTGAACTGTCACTCTCCATGGACAGATCATGCTCATTAGCCTCCCATTTTTGCTCATTGTTGTCTTCCTTTCAGCTATCCCAATGCAACTGTACTTCAAGACCCAACTTAAGGTCACTATCCTCCATGGTGTCTTCCCTTACTACCTTAATTTACTTAACCCTTTCTAAACTTTCCTAGTATTTTTAATGTCGTCAATTTAGCTTTTTCTAAAAAAAAAAGATAATTGCTGATCATTGTGTTTATCTTGTTTCTCAAGTTAGAATATGAACATCTTAAGCACTGAGGTGGTGCCATCACCATGCAATGGAAAGGGCACAGAGTTTGGTTTTTTTTTTAATATTTTATTTATTTGACAGAGATCACAAGTAGGTGGAGAGACAGGCAGAGAGAGAGGAGGAAGCAGGCTCCCCGATGAGCAGAAAGCCCGATGCGGGGCTCGATCCCCGGACCCTGAGATCATGACCTGACCCAAAGGCAGAGGCCTCAACCCACTGAGCCACCCAGGCGCCCCAGAGCACAGGGTTTTGAGCTTAATAAACCCTGGGGGTAAATTCCCTCTCTGATTTACTAGCTGCAGTACAGGTAAATTAATTCACTTTTGGGCCTCAGAATCTTCCCTGTAAAAATGGGATGACAAGATCAGCTTTATTGGGTTGTTGTGAGAATTAGGAGAGATAATAAAGCCCTGGGCATATATAAGTGCTCCCAAATATTAGTTCTTTAATCCAGATATATTGGATATATCCTGCCATACACCTGATTTTGCTTCAGCAAGCAGACGAGGGCTGAACACGAAGTCACTATTCAATAAACATTTGCTCACTGGAAATTACCTGTATTTAATTTTTTTAATGTATTATTTTACATGCACCCAGGAAATAAACCAATCCTGTGGTGAATTAGTATAAAATGTTATCTCTAACTTCTTTGTAAATTCTTGTATTCACATGCTGACTTTTGCAAAAAATAAAGTTTAATTTTGTACGCTATTTCACATTGCCACACCCATTAATATTATCTTATATGGGTAAAAAGAGGGATAGTCGTATTTCCAATGAGGAGATAGCTAAGTCTGGCACGACAGAATAAGGTATTACTCTAATACACAGAACCAGTGTAATTTAATATTCACTTACGTGTCCTTGAAGCTGGGTTTAAATTCAGATATACTGACTCCTTGTCCACCCACCCCCCTCACTATATCAATCTCTGGGAAACAAGAATATACTGGTTAAGTATGTGCAGGAATAATTATTTATTCTTTATTTATTTATTACAAGAGTGCAAGTGAGACTTTTTCTTTTTATGCCAGGCTTATAGTTGTTATTCAGTGTCTATTGAATTAAAAACAGCGTGTTAGTGCCTATTAACGTTCCTGGTTCACTGTAGTACATACTTATTAAGAGTGAGTTAATATTTAAATTCCTCTTTTTGATAAACGTATTTTAATGTAACCATTTTCTCCTAATGAAAATTTAAGGGCAAGGTTTACTATTTTTAAGAGTTTCAAATTGAGGCCTAGCACGTCACGTTTGAAAGCTGCTTCCCTCCCCTCCCCCTAATCCCCATGTGAATTATTATACTTTCTCCTGACTGGTGCAATCCACACTTGCCCGCCAAACTGAGGTCTGAAATACCCCTGAGGACTTTCTGTAGCCTCCCAGCCACAGCTCGGAAACCCAAAGCCGTTTACACGTGAAACAACCAAACACAGTCCACTAAGCCTAAGGTCCGCTACAGTGACGGCTCCTGTATAAAAGGCGAATGAGAAGGCAGCGCCCCCTTTGTTCCCACCCCCTCTTGTCGGCAGCATCCTATCGCTTTTCTTTGTTGTGCGATCCGCATCTGGGATTGGTCGGAAACCGGACCAGCGCGAGACAGTGCGCACAGGCCAAACGCCGAGACTTGTCCGTCATGTGCGGCCGCCCGTCCACCCCGCCTCGCTGCGCGCCTGGCGAGGCTTGGGGGGCGGGGCCCGAAAGCTGCTGCGCCTGCGTTGTGGGCGTTCTCCCGGAGCAGCAGCTGCCGCCGCCGCCGTCGCCACTACCGCTGCCGCTACTGCTGCCGCCGTGTTCGGGTGTAGAATTTGGAATCCCTGCGTCTCGTTAACAATGAAGCAGAGTTCGAACGTGCCTGCTTTCCTCAGCAAGCTGTGGACGCTTGTGGAGGAAACCCACACCAACGAGTTCATCACCTGGAGCCAGGTACGGGTGAGGGCACGGCGGCCTCCGAACCCCCTGACTAACCGCCTCCTCTCTCCCTCCTGTGGGGTTGTCTGTCGCGGCCTGCGACTCGATGCCTTCTGCGAGGCGCGGGGTGGCGGGGTAGCGCGGGCCCCGGCGTTCAGTCTCGCTAGGGACCCTTGTATTGTTCGCGCGGGGAGCCGCGGGGGTCCGGGCCAGCGCTGCTGGCTCAGGCCGCGGTGGGGGAGGGGCAGCCCGCGCCGGGCGCAGCAGCCCGGGAGGCCCCGTAACGGTCCGGCCCCGTCCGCGTTCGGAACCGGCCCGGCAGCACGAAGGCGGCCAACGAGCCGAGGGCGCGAGAGGCACGTTATTGCACACTCATTCTCCGTCCTCCCTCCCGGCTCGCGGGCTACGAATCGCTGAGGACGCGGAGAGCCCTGGGCGCAGAGGTTTGAGAAATCTTTACCTCAGCGACCTGGTTCTCACTAAAAAATACACTTCGCTTTGCACCTGAATCTTTTTGAGAGCAGTCAGGGATATAGGAAAATGTTCAAACGCAGTAAACGCAGGCTACTGGTTGTCAGTAGGTTTCGAGATTTTATGTAGAAAATGGTACATCATTCTTTGCGAATTTTGAGCCATTTGTAGAAACGTATTTTTATGATTATTTTAATAAAAGTGCTCTTATACATAGGTGTTCAGTAATTTAGAAGCTAAAATGAATCACTAAATTTCACTGATCAGTTGCTGGGAGAGTGGTATATGATGCCTTGATTGTTGGTTTGATCGCAACTCTGCCACTAAACAGGGATGACCTTAGTCAAGCTTCTTATCTTGTCTGGCCTAAGTTTCATCGTCCTTACGATGAATGGGGTTGCCTGGGTGATCCAAGACTCTACAAGTTCCAGATATCAAGATTCTAAGCAGAATGATTATTACATAAACAATGCATTTGCGTTCAAATGCACTCTCAGGCTTTTGGAATAATTTTGTAAAGTGGGGTGGATTTTTCTTATTTTAGGTGATCACCTGTTTGGGATATTTTCTTGTTTAGAGGGCTGGAGAACAGTAAGTGACAACTACCCTCAGAGTGCCTGGCACCTGTTAAGTGCTGAGTAAATGTTGCCTTCAGTTTTTCTCCCTTTTCGATTCCCTTCCTATTGTAGAAGCTCTGTTTTACTTACTTTTATCTTAAGAGGGAGCACTGTATTGAGTACATGAAGTTTTTGACCTCTGTAACATGTATTCTTTCTCATATTACTGTCATTTGTTCATTTTTTTATTCCCCTTCTAGGACTTAATTTTCTTGAAGGTCAGTATCATCAGCTGGATGGTGTGTATTAAGCATTCGATGAATCCTGTACAGTCATACAAAGAAAGGTGAAAATAATAAAGGCAGCCGCCAGCATACACTTAAAAATAAACAGATGTGTCATGCTTTTCATCGGTCAGAAGGATTAAAAGTTGACAGGGATGGATCAGCACAGTCTGCTGTTACTCAGCCTTGTATTCATATTAGAGACTGGACTGAGAGTCTCTCTTCCACCCAAGCTGATTTTATCATACCTTTTTGGCTTGTATGGCCATTTAAAAATAACTCTTATTTATCCCATTATTAAGTCTAAACTTATGTTTTACTCATTTTCTAATGTATAATGGGACAGTTGAAGTATAAATTCAGTGAGGGCAGAGACTGTGTGTGTGCCAAGGACACAATAAGTATTTAATACATGTTTAATGTATCAGTGAAATCCTTAGACTGTGTAATGGAAATGGTGAGAATGATAAAGATAGAATTATGCCTGAAAAGACTCTTAGGGGTAATCTACTTTAGCCTCATCATTGTATAGATGAGGATTTGAGGCTTAGATTAGATTTCTTATCCATAATTACAAAGCTAGCCGTTATTGGAGGTGGGACCTAACATAGATTTTTGGCCTCCCAGGTTAGTCTTCCATCAATAGTACTTCACTTAATGCAGATTGGTACAATATTTAGTGTTATATCAAAATGTTATCCTTTTGCAAGTCAGTGAACAGTTCTGGATTAAGGTTGTCTAGGGCTTAGCTTGGTTGCTTAGGAAGTCTGTCTCTCTTTGCCACAGATTTTTCCAAAAGCAGTGTTAACAATGAAATGAAAGGTAAAACTAAATAAACAATGATGTTAAATGGAAAAAACAAAATAAGTTACGCTCATCTTTTAGAAGTTGCTATTTATGGTTGTTTCTGGTTTCCTTCAAACATATTTTGCTGAATTTCTGTTGAGGTAATTTAGCATTTATACTATCTGAGTGAAAATCATATTAAGACTTTTTAGAAGCAGCAGATGTTTTGGAAACCAGGCAATCTTAAATGCAATTTTTTTTTCTTCACTTGTGAAAAATAATTTACTCCTCTAGCTGGAGTGTAGGGTGAGGGGGGAGAAAAACCAACTGCAGTTTGAAAAGCTTGGCTTAGTATTCCTGAAGACTTACTGATATAATTAGTTTTCCTTGAAATTTGTAGTATGACAAAAATGAAAAATGAAATACCCCCATTCTCATGATGAATTATAAAAATGTAATATTCCAGGCAGTCAAAATTATATTAAATATGTTATTGATTCAAACAACGGAAATGCCTTTAGATCCAGAGTGTCTTTAAAACATTTGTACATATTTTAATTTTTTCCATATTTTCCCCTAAAAAGTTTCTTTTTTCTTTCTTTTTTGTTTTTACATTTCCTATAACTTCAAACTTCTATATAGCTATTTTGGCTCTGGTAGGCTGTCTGTTGCCAGAATCAGGGACAGAGATAGTGCTGTTGGACAACCTAAAGCTGTTTTAAGTGTAACCAAGTCCTAAACAGAAGGCACCAGTTTAACTTGGAAGCAACTGCAGAAACTTGATATTCAGGGACAAGAGGTTGTGGAAGTTGGAAGCTCTTGCCATTGATAGTGAGGAACAGCCTTTACTGTTACTGAAATTTGATAGTGTATTTTGAAGTGAAGTAGTTACAAAGGCAGGAAGGAACTGGAAGTCATTGTTTTTTAGTGTTACTACCTTTGTTTCTGTTCTTCAGATTGTTTGAGAAGACCAAGAAATAATTTCCACTAAAGCCTTCATACCCTTGGTGCCTGGGTGGCTCAGTTGGTTAGTATCTAACTCTTGATCTCAGTTCAGGTCCTCAAGGTTGTGAGTTCAAGTTGCACATTGGGCTCCATGATGGGCCTGGAGCCTACTTAAAAAAAAACAAAAAAAGACGTCATACCTATCTGGTCCACCTTTTTATGCCCTTTGACATGTGTTATTTCTCCATCCCTCTCAAATCAGCAAGACAAGTCAGGAACTAGGAAGGAAATGGAGCAAAACCAGTATTGGACTAGTGCTTTCTAGCTATTTTGGATGAATTTGAGCATCCAGAACTTAATATTTGGGTATGATTTTGAACTTCCCAGCAGCCATTTAATTATTGCACTATTCTCAAGTAAAAACAAAACCATGATGTGGCAGAATGGGAGTAAAATCTACCTTAAATGAGTCTACAGAAAAGTTGAAAGACTGATTGATGAGTATTTTTTATTTGTATACATAAGAGAGAATGAGAGACTCAGAAGGAATGGTTGGTGAACATTTATAAGTTATGCATTGTTTTAAAAAAAGTTACAAATAAATATTCTGAAGAATTTTAAAGTAATGGGACTGAAAGATGATTAGTAAGAATATTTTGGATGTTTTTAACTGACTACCAGTTCAAGCAGTAACAATTATTATTTGGAAGCTTGCCAACCTTTATGGGTAAAACCTGAAAAGCTACCCATCTCTCCTGCCTCACTCAGTAATGGCTTTCTGCCCCTTGTGGAATGTGTTGGGAGAGTTTTGTGTTGTATTGTTTGAGCCTCACAGGTTTCAATGGTGGTAAGGTGGAATTTTTGCACTCAGAGGTTATTTTCTAATTTTAGAGTAGAGACTGAAGGAATACCATAAGCAGACACAGAATATGGGTGAATAAGGGTTGTATGAGAAGGAGAGCACATGCAGATACAAGCAAGGTGCAGTCATCATTTCATTTGATATAATCCAAGAGTTGAACTTCTAAAAAGATATTTTGGTCCACTCTCACCAAAAGTTCATTTATTTGATCACTTACAAATATTTATCATGAATATGTTGTAACCAGATAGTGTCCTAGATACTAGGGATTCATTCAGTAGTGAACAAAGTGGCTTCATAGAGCTTATATTCTGATGGAGGACACTGATATTAAAATGTAAGCAAACAAACAAAAAAAACCATAAACACAGATAATGTAATTCAGTTAGTGGTAAATACCATAAAGGAAATAAAGCACGGTAAAGAGAGAGATCCGGGTGCAATTAGGAGACCAATGTCACATAGTATAAAGAAGAAAACTGTTTTTAAATATAAAGAGGGAAAGTTTTAGTAGAATTACAGTATCAGGGGATTGGAGTAAAAACTCTAAAGAATATAGGATTGGCAGTTATAAAAAGAGTATGACCACACCTCACTTAATGAATGGCAAAGAAGGCACTGGTGCCGCACTGGTGGAACTTACTGGAAGTTCATCCTTCAAGATATACCTTTTTTTTTTTTTAATTCTTTTAAGATTTTATTTATTTGAAAGAGAGAGAGAGAGATCACAAGTAGGCAGAGAGGCAGGCAGAGACAGAGAGAGGGGGAAGCAGGCTCCCCGCTGACAGAGAGCCTGATGCGGGGCTCAGTCATGATCCCAGGACCCTGGGATCATGACCTGAGCTGAAGGCAGAGGCTTTAACCCACTGAGCCACCCAGGTGCCCCCAAGATATACCTTCTAAGGCAGGGTTTGGCAAACCATGGTCCATGGGCCAGTCATCTGTTTTGTAAATAAAGTTTAATTGGAACATAACCATGCACAATTTATTTACATATTGTTTATAACTGCTTTGCTGCTACAATGGCAGTATTATGACGTTATGATCTACAAACCCAAAATATTTACTATCTAATGCCTTAAGAAAAGATATGTATCAGCCCTTGTTCTA